CCTGAGGATATAAATTATATTCTTTGAGGTAGGTTCTGGGTATGTTCATAAAGGTTCCTGGGTGCTGCTAGAATAACCCCCTAACTTATAGTACCTACTTCTGCAAGTATGTGTGTGTGTGCGCTCACTCGCTTATGCACATGCGTGTGCGTGCCTGGCAGTTTCAATGCTACCATCTCCAGAGCAATATTATACAAGAGAAATATAATGGAAACATTGAAGATCAAGTTTAAGGTGTTCAGCGATCACACTGGAAAGCAATCGTATGTACACATACGTTTTCTCTGTTTGCATGTAATTGCAAGTGTGCATGAAGGCCAGAGGTCTCTTTGTATCTGGAGCTTGCTGATTTGGCCTCCCTGGCTAGTCTTGGAGCTCTAGTATGGCCTGAGATTTACAGGCACATGACACACCTGATTTGTTGTTGTTGAGGTGTTGGGGATCCCAATTCGGACCCTCTTGCTGATGTAGAAACACTTTACTCATTGCGTCATCTCCACAGGCCCTGAAAAATAGTGTAAAAGATAAAATGCAAAGCAATGACATTGTTTATAGAACTATTGGTGCATCCCAATAGATAATGAATGTAAAATTAAGGAGATTTTGGAGGGCGGGACTTGAGGTCTGGAGTGTATTTCACTCCTCTAGGTGGTCTCTATAGATCAGCCTCACCCTTAAGTTCCCAGTAGGGAAGTGACAGCCCTGGAAGATCTTAAACCAGACAGTGGATCACAGAGGACAATATGGCTGTCAAAGGCACAAATTGGGACAATGCCAGTTGAGTGACACCACTGCCCTTCCCTACCCTCTATGCGAATCAGAATCTTGCAAAGGTCCATCCTAACTGAAAGTGCATAAAACCTTTAGGGAGCCATGAGCTCTGGAGTTAGATGCTTGCATGACATTGAAGATTACTTACAACCTTGGATTCCTGCATCTGCAGAACAGCATCAGTACTTCAAGCACATGGATTATTGTGGCAGTTAAATTAAATACTTTGTATGAATACAATAACTGCTCAATGGACACTTGACATTTGTCACCCAAATAACATTTTCTAGTTATTTTACAAATTAGTTTAAAGCGAACTATGAAGACAGCCAGGTACTGTGAATCTTTTTGTACTTACAGAAGTGGCCATGACCATCCATACAGGATTTTTTTTTTTTTCATAGTTCTTTGTGTTGAACTCTGACTTCCAACTCAAGATCAAGATCCCCTATCCTTCAGCTTGACACATGGCTGTGCAGGGCATTTTTTAAAGAGTAGTTATAGCCAGCTTATGATCAAGGTAAAACAAAACAAAATAACAATAATGTTAAAATTCAGAATCTACATTAGCTCTTTGTTCTGTTTGAGATAGTGTCTCTGTCATAAACCAGGCCGTTATAATTTATGACTACTTTCCTGTTTCATATTCCTGTATGTTGGGATGTGTGGACCACTAAAAAGCTACATTTTCTGCTGTCTTTGGGGAAGAATCTTAAGTTAACCTTGTTATAGTTGTAGGTAAACTGATGAAAGAAATTTCTTCTTTGCCTCCTCCTCCCCATCTGCCTTCTTCTGTATCTTCCATCTCCCTTGATTTCATCTTAGCATAAAGAAGTAATGAAGACAAAACTAAAGGGCTTTGGATGGCAAGTTGGCTTTACTATTCTGAGTTGATCTTTCCGTCGGGGAGCCCTGTTCATAGGTGATCCATTCTGAGCACCTTCACTGGGACAAATACAGGAGAAAGATGCTTTTTGAGGGAAGATGTTGGATTTGCTTATGAAGCCATTTGCCTTCAAAAATGCAGGGTACCAGTTCTCAGTCAACCAAGAGAGAATGATGGGAAATCAGTGTATGTCAATGTGTGTTGTACCAAGTGCATCTTTCACAGGAATTATATATATTGAGAATAAAAGGGATAGCGAGCTTTTTTAAGACGCTTAAGTACTGTGGTGAATAGATGTAGGATGCACTTACGCTTCTGTGGGCTACATTCTGAAAGGCTGAACCACACAGAGCAAAGAAATGTACGAAACCATCAATTTAGTAGGTCATTTTGAATGTAGGCAGCAAAATGGCTGTGTGTGTGTGAAAAGCCACTACTATATTTTGAAAGAGCCTTTCTAAGAATCCTGAAATATTAATAACATGGTCTTAATGTAGTTAAGGGTGGCAAGAGCTGCCGAGAATAGCACAATGACAATTCTGTATTTTTTTTTTCCTGTGCTTGTAAAAGCAAGAAGTTAAGAGTGAAAATAGTCAATGTGTTGGAAAAGCAGCTTTCAATTTTCTAAATTGTTATAGAACTTTATATTTCCCAAATAAACTTACGTATAATTATCTTTAGGAAGGTGTTAATATGAACATAGAGGAAAAGAGAAAAACTGTGTAAACTCAGAAATACCCCCCAACACACACACACACACACACTTTGAAGTCACTGAAGAACTAGTACAATGATTTTTGAGCTTTAACAAAATACCCCCAACACACACACACACACATTTTGAAGTCACTGAAGAACTAGTACAATGATTTTTGAGCTTTAACAAAATTGGAAAGAAACATCTTCCAGTAGGATTGTTGTGAACTCCAGATTAATTTTGTAACTAGAAGTGGTCTAATTAGAATGCCACGTCCTTCCCACCCCCTGCCAGCTTCTGAATGTGGTGTTTTCATATCATACCGATAGGTCACTGACTAATTTCTATCAATTATCACCTTCTCCTCTCACAGTGCAACTGCAGATTTTGATGACAAAATTGAAAGTGTGTGTGAATTAGACAGGGGCTTGCAGTGTATTTTTTTTTCCCCCGAAAGACGTTAAGATCATTTGTGACTTGCTGGTATTTCTAGGATGAGTTTTTGCCTCAAGTTGCTCTTGTCTTCTGCGACTCACTGAGTGGCAAGGGAGACCCAGGGAGTTTTTTTGTGTCCATGCTTAGGGACTCACCATGAGGCTTGATTTTCTGCTAAGTCTGGGTTGCAGCTTTTCATGAAAACCCTCGGGCCATCTTAAACATGACCAAGCACACCTTGCAAGCTGAACCTTATTTAATTATGGGATGCCTATGAACTTGACACACATCAATCACAGCCACCAAAGCAATTTGTTTGTCTAAGGTACTTGGGTCCAGTGAAAGACGAAAAGCAAATAAAGGAGATTGATCTGGGAGCACTCTTACTGTCGGTGCTCCACACACCATAAAGTTTTGGCTCGTTAAGGGAGATTCCATAAACAACTTTAGTTAATAAGAATGTAGTAACTGTGTGCGCACCTTGCTGAGTGCCCACCAAACTCCCTTTCCACTTGTCATTACGGATATGATGGTGAAGAAAATGCTAGCAGGCCAGGCCACAGGGGGAGGGGCGGGCTTCGGTGGATGTTGTGTGGATGGATGCTTCGTGGACCAATGCGGCAACTCTCTGTGGATGCAGGTCTGGATAGCCCTAATTCCGCAGTGAACCCCGCATGTGTGGATGGTTCAGAGAGGTCCCTGGATGGCTACTGTGGCTAGTCTCTTGCATTTTAGGCTAGTGAAAAATTTGAAGTGGGTCCTATATCCAGATGTGTTTTGGGTAGTATTGGCACATTCTGAGAATATGATAAATGAAGCAAGCATCAAGAAAAGCATGCTGGGAAAATTGTGGGAAGCTCATTTTCTTTCCCATCTTCAGATGTTACAGAATAGCTTAATTATCATTGTCTTTTATCTGTGACCTTAATATTTGATGGCGCTGGCCAGCTTTTTTATTTTAGGTTGAGATGGGTTTGGGAAGTAATCACGAAGAGTGTGGGGAGGAAAAGGAGGGGAAAGGAGCAAAGCCCTATTAATTAATTTTTATGATGAGGTTTTGCAGCATTATTGAATTTTTCCACATTACTGAAAGTAGTCCTCAGTGTCCGTGTGTGTGATGTTTATCAAGATGAGATCATGGAAAGCGAGTCAGGTGTGTTAAGGGACTGTATGAACCTGTGTTCTCTGTACTCACCTCACGCAGGGTGCTCATTGCAGGGGGAGAGGGTGTGGGCTAAAAATGGAGGCAGGGAACTACAGGAGGGCTTCATGCACTTGAGATAAAACACCACGTATTAACTGGTTTTTAAGTAAGATACTTATCATATACTATTCCACAAGCTATCCTTAAGTAGTCTTCATTGCCTTGCCCTGAAAGGAAATACTTCATGCCTTACAAATGCATGTCTTTTATGAATGCCTTTGTTTGGTTTTCAATTTGATTCTCTTTGTAACCATAATTAGGTACTAGCCACCAACCAGTTTGTTGTTGTTAGCATTTGGACACATATATTTCCATCTAGTTGATTGAATAAAAAACCCCACCCATCACATTCCAAAGTAAGTGGCTGAGAGTCCAGGATCTGGGGAGCAGAGCACTTGCGGGTCAAAGGTGGCTTCTGAAACTTAACCAGGTGTAGGGTCTTAACACTGACAATTACCCGGTAGAAGCTGGAATTCTTCCTCTCAAAGGTGCCACTAATAGTAGTACTTTGTAAGGGGCTACAGTAAGACTGATCAAGATAGTGCCTCTAATGGCTGCTGGCTTCCAGAGAGACTCCAGTAAACTGTGATTGTACTGTACTTGATCACACTAATTTTAAGGCAGTGTTCTTTAGAGGCTCCTTGACACCTAACCAGAATTTCCAGTGAGCCTCAAAGAGAAGCTATGATGCTGGGTATGTGGCTGAGTTGCTAGAATGCTTACCCAGCATGCAGAAAGGTCTGGGTTTTATTCCCAGCACTCAGGAGGTAGAGGCAGAAGGATGAGAGATTTAAGGTCACTCTTAGCTACATAGAAGAAAGTTTGCCTGGGTGGCATGAGTCCTTGTTTTGGGTTGCTTGCTTTGACCTGCATTTCAAGCCAGGGCATCACCAGAGATGAACAACAGCCCTCCCCCCGCTTCTGCCATCAAAGAAATGCTTTCACATTTTGCTTTGTTGTTCTCGCCAGTGGTTCATGTTTGTTTTTCTTTTCCTCCTTCCCTGTAGCTTGCAAAATTGGATACTACAAAGCTCTCTCCACGGATGCCACCTGTGCCAAGTGTCCACCCCACAGCTACTCCGTCTGGGAAGGAGCCACCTCGTGTACCTGTGACCGAGGCTTTTTCAGAGCTGACAATGATGCTGCTTCTATGCCCTGCACCCGTAAGTGGTTTGCTTGTCTCTGTCTTCTGTGATGCCAGCAGCTTTCATTACCACCTGGCAGGGTGCTGCCAGGACTTCTCCCAGGATAACCTTGCAGGGGGCAAATTAGATATCAAGCGCGCATCCCCTTTCTATCATAGCAGGAGAAATGCTTATGAAAAGAATGGCTTTTTCACTCTTTCTGGTTGCCTTCAAAATGCACAGCTGCCAACAGACTACATTGTGGAGCAAAGATTGAGTGTTCAGGTTGTCTGACAGTGTAATTACAGCTGAGAATGGAATTTATAAATGGCTTTACCATGGCATTGAGGGCTGGGGGAAACTTGACAACCACTGGAGAAATAGGTAGAGGACAGGGTTTGGGGTGTGTGTGTTTCAGTCCTAAAAGAGACAGTTTAGAGTGCTCTGAGGTCATCGCCGCTTGGGTTTTCATTTTCCCTCTTCCTGCTTTCATCATAGTTTTGTGTTCATAACACTTAGGCCAGGACCCTAATAAATGCTTATTTCATATTAGGCACTTAATAAATGCTGGGCTAATGAATAGATGGTTCTGGCAAGCCTGGTGTGAAGCTGGACAGGGAAATCTCTTCTCACACTTTATTTGGACTATGTTCCCAAGGTGTTGCCACAGACCTGGCAGTGGCTGTGACCTTGAGCAAGGCAGGGATGATGGTCCCCTTGCGTTATGCTAAAATTTTGCACTAGCTGAGGACTGTTTTTCAGGGCACAGCCTGGTAATGTGGCCCTAGGGACTTCCAAGTTCAGGACTTGTTTCTCAGACTGCAGTTTACTAGCAGAGTGGCTGCTTAGCCTCTGTCTGTTTATTTTCCCATCTGTGGAATGGGACTAATATTAGCACATGTTATAGATCTTCGTTCTGAAAAGCTTTACATATAAAGATTTGGTGGATTTTTCTAATATTAGCATATACACAAAGATTTACTGTTTGGAATGAGAACCAAGTCTGAATATGAAACTCCTTTAGGTTGTATACACATACATGTTGTCCTCATAGCTTGATGGTAACTTTATAGAGTACTTACAACGAGTCTCTGTTTTCACTGCAGCTTATCACATGAGGTCAGCTGTGGAATTTGTCAGCTTATCATGTCACTCCTCTGCTCAAAAAGCATCAGATTCTAGAGCCCTTTGGAATTGGGGAGTTAGAAATACTACCTCTCTACCTCCCTTAGGGCTGTTATTAGATATCCACATGTTGGTTGTGTGTCTGTAATGTGTAAAACAATTTTATCTTATACATTTTAGATTATGCTACTATCATGACTTTTTATTTTAGCTACTGAAAATTCCAGATGAGTCAGCCTGGGCCAGTATCACTGAATATAGATGCCATTCCTGGGTTTTGGTCTGTTGAAGTTGCAGGGAGCTTATTCTGTAGAATAACCAAGAACCACCTTAATGGGAGAAAGAAGAGAGGTGTCTGGTCCATCCCAGACACCTCTCATGTTGCTATCCCCTCTTGATTGACTTTTATGACATAAGAGACTGCCTTAGGGTTTCTATTGCTGTAAAGAGACATGACCATGGCAACTCTTATAAAGGAAAACATCTAATTGCCGTGTTAGTCCCATTATCATCATGGTGGAAAGCAAGGCAGCATACAGGCAGACCTGGTCCAGATAAACTTAACTCTCAACTTAAGATAAGTTAAACTTATCTTGACTCACAGGCAACGAAGGAGTTGAGAGTTAAGTTTATCTTAACTCTCAACTTAAGATAAGTTAAACTTATCTTGACTCACAGGCAACAAGAAGTGTTCTATCTCATTGCACATGGCTTGAGTATGTGACACCTCAAAGCCCATTTCCACAGCGACATACTTGCTCCAACAAGACCACACATACTCCACAAGGACACGTCTCCCAACAGCCTCCCTTTGGGGACCATTTTCTTTCGAACCACCACAAAGACCTACTATTACAGTGATGTGAACACTTTATCTAGCGTTCAGCACTTTGGATGGTAAAATTGATCACATACTCACATTGTAGTGACATTTAAGGTAGGTCTTCTTAGTTATAAACTAGGTAACTGCAAGCACCAAGAGATGCCCCTGCCCAGCACAGACATGGAGCTGCATGTCCTGAAGACTGTACTCCTAGAGGTTCTATTGTCTGATCTCCCAGATCAAGCATTAAACTGCCAGGATTAAAGACAGCAAAGGGCTAACCTTACATGTTTCCATAGCAGCAGGGATGTCTTCACCCTTTTTTAAATGCCTTCCCTAGACTAAATTCTTTTTTTTTTTTTTTCTTTTTGGCCAGATCAATTCCTGAGTTTTTCAGTATTTTCATTCTGGGTTAGACTTGATACTTAATGATTTATTTAAGAATGAGCTCTCTGCCCCTTTCTATACTCCCTACCAAACAACAGCTCCTGAGAGCTGGGAACTTGGGGCCCAAGAGCAAGCTTAAGAGGAAGTATTTCGGGCTGATGTTTACATAATGGCCCTCTGTTTGTATGAGGGACCCCACCTACCCTCCACACAGAGACTTTCCTTCCTTCTGGGTAAGGTTTGACTGTGCTGTGAATGGCAGGAAACTTAACAGTGACCAGCGTGACTGCTTTTTCTTCCCCTGATTCTAATGTGTTGTCTAGCACTCTAGGAAGCCAGGTGCCAATATAGTGACTGCTCCTTGGTGCTTGGGAATGTAGAACACCTCCAATGATTGCCATGTGTGTGCTGGGCTGGGCTATTTGCCATAGGCATCATACCTATATAAAATTGTATATTTTTGGAGTAATAAATTGTTTTATTCCAAAGATGCAAATGAAAAACAAAAGGTATACTGATTTTTAAACTCATGCGTTGAAATAAAAATATTTAAAATTTGATATAACTGTCCTACCCCCCGCCCCCAAATTTGTGTTCTCCAAAAAGGGAGCAAGGCTTGTGGGCTTTTTGAGTTGGGAGTAAAGGTCACCTGAGGCTCCATCGAAGCAGCAGGGGTTCCTTTCTCCCCACTCTGAATTCCTGGGTACTCTTTTTGTGCATGGAGCTTATTGGCCAGCCATTTCTGTATCCTGCTGACTTGTTCCCCAGGGTTTCCATGACAGGCTCACAGATTTCCCAGCCAGCTTGCAGGCTCCCTCACACCAACCAGGTTTGTGACTCTAAGAGTCTTTAACGTCTCCAGGCCCCAGTTTCCTTCCCTGTGAAGTAGATTCTCGCCATCTATGCCTATGGCTGTTTTAAACAGTAATTAAGAAAATACTTGTGGAAGCCTGATGCATGGTGCACGGTAGGAATCAGAAATTTCTTTGTCTTTTTTTTTTTTTTGTTTTTAAATCTCTAGTTGGTCACTTAAGTCCTTGGCCCAAACCTTGGCATTATTACCCTTTACAAATGTTAGTGATTTGGGCCCTGACAACACAATTAAAATTATTCAGTGTCCACATTGAACACCAGGAAGGACTCAAAAATCTGATTTTAATCCTGTTGTACAACAAAGATGGATATGACATCTCTACAATGTTGATATATCTAAGCCTTGGAAGCCCTCCTTGGAAAAGGGACACTCAGGGATATGTATTATTTGATGAGACAGCAGGATTAGAATCTGTGTCTGAGGATCCTATTTCTCCCTTTCTGTTGAATGGAGTGGAAACTTACTGTTTAATCTGCAGCAGATAGGAGCATGTGTCTATTTAAATGGAAAGTCAAGTTTTACATCCTGTTGCTCACTTGTGTTCTCCGCAACCCTAGAGCTGAGTAGCCACATGAGGTTGCTACAGACACTTGTCAGATAGGTAGCAGGGATATAGCTGTTTCTATCTAACTTTGCAGAAAGCTCCAGTCTACAGCGATTGAGTAGATGGTTGAGTAGAGGAAACGGTGGGAGTTTCTCACAGAGGCTCTGGTTCAGATAACCCAGCGGATGGATCCACCCCATTCCCGGTGTTATCGGATTCTCTTGACCAGATGCGATGCCAGGATGGAAAGGAACATAAACACCAGGGGATCCTTGGATTCCAGCCCCTAATCAGTTCTTCCCAGTTGGTTAAGCCAGGTGACAAACCCAATTCCCTTGTGCTGACAGCCATGATAATCAGGCACCTTCTTTGTTCATTATGCTGTCTTTAACCCCAGCATTCTTATGCAGCCCTGCATTTAGTGATCGCTCACTGTGACGGCACACTAATGAAGAAATAAAACACACTCTCCAAGACCCATTCTTCTAGCCAAAGTAAGACTCTGCTCCACTGGCTTGTAAAATCAGGTTTTTGTTCACTCGGGGAACGATTAGACCAGGTAAACACAAGTCTCAAGAGCTAATTCAGAAGGAGACACCTAAAAGTTTACACTGTCCACACCACTGGAAAAATTAGGAGAATTGAAGAATGAATCCACTTTGGTTTTGGAGGACTTTTGAGGGAACCTCTGGTTAATTTTAAATGAGTGGATATGGTTTAGACAACTGAGATGTTTCCATCTGAATTTTTTGTTTTTTAAAACCCTTACCTGTTTCAAAGAAGGGAGCCTAGTGCTAAAAAGTGATTCTAGTATTAATTATTATTATTTCTCCTTCTTTCCACTTCTGGGGATTGAACCCTGGCCCATGCAAATGCTAAACAAGAGCGCTACTGTTTTGTTAGAAATATGATCTTGTTAACTTATGTGGGCTAGCCTCAGACTCATGATCCACCTACTTGTTCCACCCAGCTTCAATAATTCAAGATCATAGGTGAGTTGCCACCAGACCCAGGCAGAGCAGTGCCTACACCCCACACCACTGTAGAAGCCTGAAACTCTGCATTTCTGACAAGGTCACAAATAACCATGTGAAGCAGGCATCCATGGGGTATGCCTTCTCTGTTTGAGGGGCAGGAGCTCAAAGATTCTCTTACATGCCTGCACCTGTCAGCTAGTGGAAACTCTCAGAGAGCATTTCAAGGATCCAGACCATTTGCCCTTATGGAAATCAAATAGTTCATTTGTCTCTTTCTGAAAAACAACCCAAGCCAGTTGGAGGTCATGC